AAGTGGGGATAGAAAAAAAAGGAGGAAAGAAAATCTTAAGCTAGCCCAGGAAGGGTTTTACTACCCCCCCATGTATGAAATTTGACATCACATTTTTCCAATTCTTTCTTATTACATTCATGATAAAAACTGGGTTTATTACAAGTTACACAATCACACCTCTTTTAAGCTGTGTGTAGGATAAATTATCAAAACCATCAATCCAGTAAGGAGTTTTTTCTGTACCAACCAAATGGTGCCTGCCTAGTTATTTTACTTATTCCAACTGGGCTAACAAGACATACAAAAGGTTGAAAACCAAGTCCAGTAAAATTTCTCTACTTATCCACACTCCTATTCAAGACTTACTCACTTAATAAATACCTATAATACAATACTGACATTCAAAAAATTGAAGATTTAACTCCTGCTCCAAAAATAAATCTTTGTGGGAGAGTCACACATCCAACAGCTACAAGTATAAATGAAGACCCACGGGGAAAAAGATTACTATTTGCATCTTTTCATGGATATCTCACTTAACACAATTAACAATTCTATGAAATAAAAAGATTTATCTTTTTCTAACCTTTTTTTCTTTAACCAATTTGGTTGAATAACAAGTTGATATATCTAACCTGATCTTTCCAACCTTTAAGTGTACCCAGCTCTAAAATATATTATCAATCATTACCATAAATGAAGGCAACAAAAATCACAATTAGTTTTTCAAGGTCTCTAAACATACACACAGGAAGGAAATTTTAAAAAATGGTTTCCCTCACCTCTAAAATAAAGTTGGACTAGATCACAGATGACTAGGAATTAAGTGACATTCCAGGAACCACTCTTCAGTGCCATTCTCTGGAACCCATGTCTTAAACATACATTACTAATGAACCACGGCACTCTTTCCCATCAAGCGCAGAAGCGCATCAATGTCTTTATCAAAATGGTAGCATTACCAATTGGAATAAGTAAGCAGAATGTAATCTATTTAACATCTTTGAATTAAATAAGGTCCAGATATAAAGCAAACTACCCAAAAGTTTTACCCAACTAATCTAAAACAAAAGTAGGCCTCAAAATAATATGAGTGACGTAACTGTATAATGCTAATAGCATACAAAGTACCTTCTATTATCATTTGATCTTCATACCCAGTAAAAAATTATCTGTATTTTTACTTATTTTTTAAATGTATCAGTGAAATAAGGTGGTTAATTCAAGGTCACACATCTAGATAAGTGGCTTGATCAACTCCTTTGCAACCCCATTACAACTTCTTTTTTTTTTTTTTTTAACAATTTTTACTTGCAGATGGACACAATATCTTTATATTGTTTATTGATTTTTATGTGGTGCTGAGGATAGAACCCAGGGCCTCGAAAGAGCTAGGCGATCACTCTACTGCTGAGCCACAACCCAGCCCCCCATTACACCTTTTTATGTGAGAAACTTGGAATAGCTAGTGGAAGCTGTTGGTATTTAAAATGACACAAAAATGTCAATCCAAAATCTTCTGCCCTCTTCTAAGCCACTGGACTACAGACAACTACTTTAGATCAGACAAGCTCCTCTTTTCATTAAAATAATAACAATAATAATTAAATTTGGAACAATTAATCGATTTTTAAATTCAATCATTTAATAAGACATATGCTGTATTTTGTATACATATATACATTCATTCACACACACACCCCTCAATCAGAAAGCACCGTATACTTTTGAAGGATTACATAAATGAAAAATGGAATAGAATCAAAAGCTTGGATGGGATACTAAAAGTATTAAGTTTTTTGGTCTCAACTCCTCCACTGTCCTGCATAATATACTTTTTCATTTCTTTAATGCCAATCTTAAAAGCAACATATTAGTAGGTAAATCTCTATACAGCATTTTATATGTGTAGAATTGCCTTCTGACTACTTTAGGAATATAAAGTATTTTTCAATTCCCTTTTCTTTAAGATTACATCACAGTTAATACACTATTCCTAAAATTAAAGTCATTTGAGAGATCTTATCACAGCTACTTATGCCACAACATATTAATCATTTCCTCTTTTCAGAATTTTGACCAACTTAATTGGAAATTCCTGCTCAGGCATTCCTGTTTCTGGATGGCTTCTGAGGCATGAGAACTATCCATCATGTAACTTTAAAAGACTCTATTTTAAAAAGCTAACTTTTATAGGACAGTACTTGAAAGCAACTGGGGATTGAACAGAGGGGCTGGCACATATGAGGCAAGGGCTCTACAACTGAGCTACATTTCCAGTGCTTTGTTTTTTTTTCATTTTTTATTTTTGAGACAGGGTCCCACTAAGCTGCCCAGGTTGGCCTTGACTTTGTGATCCTTCTGCCTCGACCTCCAAAGTAGCTGATGACTACAGGTAGTGACTCACAGCTAAAAAGTCCTTTCTTAACCATAAAATATCCCAAAGATTTTTGTTACCAGCACAAGAATCTTTTCCCTCATATTAGAATGTTCTACTTTTGCACACATCTAACTGCAATAATGGAGTTTTACAAACTACCTACCAAATAATCCAATGGTTTCCAAAGTGTAAATCTGATCCTCTTTTCTACTCTTTAAATTATTCAAAATTAGTCTACAAAGAATTACTGTAGACTGCCTAAAGAAATATTTCAGACCTCGATACCACATTCTATATTTATGGTCCTGGAAAAACAGCAGTGATTCCCATATAATAAAACAAGAAGAGCTTAAAAATAAAAGTTATACTTTATCAAACAGGGAACTTTTAAGTGAAGACAATTTAACTGACACAGACATCTACACTATTCTGATTAAACTTTAAAGATCCCCTAAACATCTTTCTTTTTTTCTTTTTGGTTCATCATCTTTGGATTAGATAACTTCGATTGTTTTTATTTTAAAATAGCACACTTTGTTAACAAAGTTTGTTAACAAACTAAGACAAATATAGCCAAAGTTGAAAAGACCATTAACTTCTGGTCTCTGAGACCCTATAGCAGCCAGGCGCAGTGGCCCACCAGCCAGAGGCTCAGGAGGCTGAGACAGGAGGATCCGGTGTTCTAAGCCAGCCTCAGCAACAGCAAGGCACTAAGCAACTTAGTGAGATGTCCTCTTTAAATAAAATACAAAATAGAGCTGGGGATGTGGCTCAGTGGTTTAGAGTTCAATCCCCAATACTAAAAAAGAAAAAAAAAAAAAACCTACAGCAGTAAATCTAAAGCAGAAATCATCAATATGTAGTATTACGCAACATAACATTTTAT